CAGTGAGACATTGAAAATCTGGAATCTCAAGTTCCATGATATGCTTATTCTTTCACTAAAGGGCATGATATGCTCATTCTTTCACCAAAAGGCATGCTGACTGATATGTAATATGTGTCCTTTCTTCCTTATCCATTTTTTATATGGGTTCTAGACCTAATTATTTAGAATATATAATCTCTAACATGGAGATTATTAATATGAACTAAAATTAATGTTAAAAACTAAAATTATACTCTTTTTTGAAAAATAATTTTAGACCTTAGGTTTTTGTTTTTTGTTTTTTTGTTTTTTGGGAGGGACCATGACTTTACATCCATCTTTAACACATATGTTTGCTGCATTGTGGGGCGCCATGTAGGATTGCATCCCCTAACGCATAATCCACTTTTCCTTAACTAAATAAATAGATATTATTTTACATAAAAGTTAAGCTTTTTTTAAAAATGTTACAATTACTTTTAATCATCAACCACAAAATAAGATCAATAGGACTGTACCACAAAATTTGATAATATTGTTTTTGAACTTTGAGTATGGTCAATGACACCTCTAACCATCAATTTCAATTCTAAGAACTAAAGGTGATTATGACATTATAAATGGTATTGTTGTGCTTTACTTTTGTAAATAAAAAACAAAAATAAACAAGCCAAAAACAATATACTCCACAACAGCCAGTAATTTGGACCGTCGGCTTGGCAGATGGGGAGTTGAAAGCCACTGCCAACGTGTAGCTTTCCCATCCCACCGTTAAACCACCTTCGGAAAAATGGAGAAACCATGTCTATGATTTTAATTTCCGGAGAACTCCTCAAATATGATTTCTTTTTTCAAATACTGTTGATTTATCACATATCCACCCATTGGAACATATTACACTTGATTTTGGCATAAGAAAAAAGAGCGCATAATGGGCGCATCAATTACAAGAAATATAGAAGTCTCTTAAATGAATTATTTATGAATGGCACGAATCAAGTTGGGTAAAAAATCAATTATGAATGTTTAATTAATTTTGGCTAGTTCAGTTTGGTTTTGACTATCCAAATAGAATGGATAATATTTTTCTAATATACTAATATTTCTAAACTATTTTTATATTTATTGACCAGTCCAGCTGACTAATTTCAATTGGTTCAACCATCCAAACAAAATGAGCAGTTTTTTTTAATGTATTCCTAAACTATTATTTTATATAATTTATATTTTTTCAGATTGAGAAAATTTCACCGTACACCCTAATTTCATGTATGATTTCCCCATAGACCTTGAAATTTGAAATATTTCTAACGGCATTAACTTTGTTAGTTTCTTATCTTCCAACCCCCATAACCATTATTACATGCACCGAAGTCATTTAGAGCAACTTATGTGCCCCAAAATATATCCTATAAGGACGTACACGTACATCTCTCTCTCATGCCCAAGCAACCCCAAACCCACCCTCTCTCTTTCTCTCTCTCGCCCCTAATTTGAGCTTGTGCCATACCCCTCTCTCCTCTCTCTCTCCCATATTTATCTCTATGCCATACCTCTGTATCTCTTTACCCCAAACCCTCTCCCTCTCTACCCGTTATCTCTCTCTCTCTCTCAATCGATATTTCTTGTCAATGTTTCTTAAATGGACGGACATTGCTCTTTTGAACTCTCCTTCTCTAGATACACAAATGTGGTGGTTAAGAGCAATGACAACTTTAGCTCTCTCTCTATCGCTATTATTATTTATTGTAGAGAAAATTTTGTATAGAATCCTAATTCCTCATATTATTTCGTAGTAGACCCTCACTCCGTTTTTATTTTAAGCAGCATTAGGAAACCTCTAAAGATTTTACCATACCCTATCATCTTTTATTTTCCTGTTTTATTGACTTTTGATCATCAAAATTAACTCCAAAAAATATTTTTATACCATTTCAACCAAAAACCTTTTTAATGGGTGGAAAGGGAAAATGAAAATTAAAAAATTTTTTGGGTTGAAATGGTATAAAAAAATTTGTTGAGCTAATTTTTATGGTCAAAAGTCAATAAAAGAGGGAGATAAGAGATGAGGGTGTGCAGTGAAATCTTTACGAGGTTCCTAATGGCGCTTGAAAAAAAACAAAATGATGATCTACTATGAAATAATATGAGGAATTAGAGTTCTATATGAAATTTTTCTTTTATTGTTTGACACAAAATTCCATTCAAGCCTCTTAGCTATGTCCATGCTCCTTTCTCACACTGGGTCCATGGAATTACTACCATTATTTAGTGTTTTGTACAAAACCACATTCAAGCCTTTTTATACATATTTTTTGACATCAAATTCAACGATTTGGGCTATGTTTCATCAATGTATTCATAATTCAAGGATGAAGAGACTCTCTCTCTCTCTAAAAGTATTTTTTATTGAAAGATGATGGGAGTCTCTCTCTTCAAATTGATCATCTTGACATCAAGATGCTTGGACATGAGAAAAAAATGGATTGCAAGTTTTGGAAATAGTATATTTTGTAGCGCATTTTTTTATTGTCATTTTTCAAGATTTTCAAGTTTTTATAAATATGTCGATCTATACTATTTTTTAAGCTTTAAACTTTATAAATAAATATAAAAATATATTTTAAAGTTATCACAAAGATTTCCAATATTGAAACCAATGTTTAAAAGATGAACTCGGGATCGGTCACTGGCCGATCTTGATCTGGCCCGATTCTAACTGTCATATATGTATGATATTTTTTTCAGTGCACTAATTGGCCGACTAATCGGATTAATTGGCATTAATTAGCCCTAATCAATCGATTAATGCACTAATCAAACAATTAGTGCATTAATCGACGATTTGCTCTAAAAATCCGCCAATAAATGCAGTGTCATAGTGCAAAGTTTGCAAAGTTGCCCTTATAACATTTTTTATATATTTTTCCTTTTCTACCTTTTTCCTATTGTTCTATGGACACGGTTTCATGCGGCAAGCCCGCATATTGTAGAAATATGAGTTTGGCAATAAATATATATTTTAAATATAATGTCATCAAACTTTTTAGAGTATATAATATTTAACATGGAGATCGTGAATATAAAATAATAATAATAATAATTTGAAAACTAAAAATAATAATTCTATTAAGAAAATATTTGGACGGCTAGTTACACTTGTTTTTTTATGGACTACTTATTTTGCATCCATCTTTAAGATGGATGCTTTATACCTTTTGATCCCATATTGTAGAAATGCGGTCATGCTTGCATGAAACAATTTTCTTTCTTCTATTTCTCTATTTAAAACTTTATATATTATTACAAATTTTTTATTTGCTAACTGTAGGGTTTGCCGCCTTCGGCTAGATGCACCAGAGTTGGTCAGGCCCGACAGGGTTCTAAGGCCGTAGGTCCCACAACTCAGGGGATATAAAATTTAGAAAAAATTACAAAAAAAACCCAAAACTACACTTACTATGCAACTTACCCACAACGTAACTTTTGCTCTCACTTTTTTCCTCAAAATACATTTTGTATGCAAATACCCCCCAACCAAAATAAAATAAAAAAATACCTAAACTACCCTCCCTTACTTTTACCTTACCCACGCCTCTCTCCTCTATCCCACCAAAATAGGGGCTTCGACACTTTGTAAGTGCGGTCCAGCAGTAGATGTTACTGGATTCCATGGCTCTGGCACTTTGTAAAGGGAGGTCCGGTAGTACTCAGTTTCGGTGCGGTAGTTGTCTTAGGGCGGTCCGGCACTTGTGCACTCCGGCAATGTGATTGTGTGCTTCGGCAATGTGTTACTGGCATCCAAAAGTCAACATCAAATCCGGCCAAAATGATTTTTGTGTATAAGAATGGTATTTTCGTTTTTAAAAAAATGAACTTTTACTATTATGGGTATTTGCATAGAAAGTTTGTTTTTGGGGAAAAGTAAAACAAAAAGCTAAGTTGGGGATAAGTTGCATCAAAAGTGTGGTCTTGTGGGCTGTTTGTAATTTTCCCTAAAACTTATTCGTTGTTCATTTGATTTGATCTTCAATCTAATACCTACACCACCAAGCCCCCGAGGGGCACATAGACATACACAAAGACACAGATATGAGAGAGAAATGGAAATTTATCAAAATTGTCACAAAGAGAACAATTTTAAACTTTACCTACATTTTTAATTGAACTCCAAAATACCCAAAAAAAAGAAACATGGTCTTGAGTTCAAATATTATAACATTTTATAAGACTATATCATATTATATTATATATTTATTTTTTATTAATGTAATTTATATTATATAATATATATTTACATATTATATATAATATATTTATTATATATTTATCTCTAAAAAAGTATTGTTTCAGGTGCCTAATCACTTTCTCCGAAACCCAATTATGCTTATAATATTATTATTTTTTTACTTTTTTATGTGATAATATAAAAAAATAATACATGTAAATTTTTTAAAAAAAACTTACAATTTTTTAAGAATTTTTTGGGATTTTTTAGATTGTTTTGGCATTTTTTTACCAAAATTGCATTTTCAAAAAAAATCGGAGCACTAATCAGCTGATCTAGTCAAAATCGATCGGACTAACTGGATCAGGTCAGGACATACTAGTCGGCAGGATCCGTTCTTTTGAACATAGATTGACACAACATTTCTCGATGCTATTTGAAGGTAGGCTCTAATTTGATTGTTTAGAGGCTAGACTTTATACATACTGCACCTTATAGAAAATTGATAAAATTAATGTGACTAGAAATGTTTCAAATTTGAGAACCCATAAAAAATCATATACCAAATTAAAGTGTAAATTGAAATTTTTTAAAAAAAATTATTAAAATTTAATCAAAACTATTTAATTATAATCAAAACTTATTTTAACCGGACCCCTCACCGATTAAAACGATGGATAACTAAACCGCTATGCACCGGCAAATCCCTCACGATTTCGTAGGCAGGTGCGGTTGTCTGTGCGACTGCGCAACTAATCAAATGTCATGTGTGGATTTTATATGTGTGGGGGTAGGGTATATAATGTGATTCTTTTTGTTAAGTTGTGTGGCATGTGTGTTTTTTAATAAGATTTGCATGAAAAGGACTCCACCCCACTCCACTTTGGAATCCAGAGGAGGGTGAGAGCGCGAGAATGGTCATGACTCTGGTTTCTTTTTCTTCTCCAACCTCTCTGCATTCCTTTTCTCCGAAGCCTCATCTTCCTTCTTTGAAGGCATTTCCACTGATATCATTTTCCTTAAAGTCATTATCCTATCTTTCCCCCAAATCCAGGTACTTATTTATGCTTTTCGTCTTTGTCCAAATTCTAAAGCATTAGTCTCTGAAAATCTATTTTGATCCGATTTTTGTTTGGGAGTTTGATGATGGGTTTCCGCTTTTAGTTTGCTTTTTCACTGTGCATTTCTTTCCCCAGACACTCAAATCAATTAATTAGTGGTTTATTGAATTGGAGCGTCTCATCAGTATACAGAAATTAAAACTACTGTGCTGGGTTTGCTTATAATTATTTATCAGATAAGGGGTTCTTTCTCGTGTAGAAATGATGGATATTTGTGAGTTTCAAGAAGTTGGCTCGTGCTTGCAGGGTTTCATTTTATAAATCCCTTGCTTAAATTCATCATTATCATCGAATTTTACTTCAGGAATTTGAGTTCCCACCTGCATTAATGCTGTTAACCTGTATATTTACAATGAGGATATTATATGCTTTTAGGTTCTTTGTTTTTTACTTTATATAATCCTCATGAAGGCACTTTTGTATTTTTCTTTGTCTATTTTTATGGGATGTCTGCTCTCTTTCCCTCCCAAGTGAACAATCATATTTTTTCTCTCAGTTTCTCAATACAGACATGGTAGTTGGACTATCCGTCATGCTCAATTTGAAACAGTAATGATCAAACAGTTGGATTCTTGTTATTTCTCCTATATTTGAGGTGACCAAGTTTGCCCCATCTCTCTCTCTCTC